CTCTCTTTTCCTTACCTTTATGGAAGATCAGTACTACACTTGCTTTTTTCCAGTCTTCTGGTATCTCTCCAGTTCTTGAATTTTCAAAAATAATTGTAAGTGATTCAATTGTAAGTATGCACTATACTTCTTTCATTAGATAAAAGCGTTATCTGTGATGCATGTCATCTCAAATTACTGATTGTGAACATAAACTTTCCAAATACTCTCATATTTTAATCAAAATGACATTTTTGCAAAGTTTATTTTAATTATAGGGTATGTGTTTTGCTAATTTTTAAAAATCATCTACTTTTGTCTGGATTCAAGGCATTTATTTTTTGTTAGGAGGCTTGTTTTCTTTGGTGTTTTTCCTTTGTTAAATTTTTAAGCAGTTACTCCCCTTTACAGTTCTGCTACTGATAACTTACTCTGTTTTCTTGTTATTCTGAACTTTTCTGAGACTTAGATGGAGTAATTTCTCTATTTCTAATGTATTTTCCTTTTCTCTTTTTGCAACATATTTTTATTATATACTGTTTTGTCCTGTGTAAGAGAAAGCACTGAACATAGGGTACTTAGTCCTTTAAGTTTTTGCTGTGAAATAAGATTTGATATGAAAATAACCACTCATTTGTGAATTTCTTTTTACAAAGTTATTATTCAGCCATAGCCCTTCCTGTTCTACATTATTCTCCTCAGTTCCTCAAATTACCCATAACTTTCTTATTTCCTGATTCTGACCTCAAGAAGACCTTAAACCACCTTTTACCACCACTGTTCATTACTCTTCCTCTGTCAGCAGGAATTACTTTAAAAGCTCTTACTCCTTGCCTCAAAAATTGCCTCCTGTACTATTTTACTGAGAGGGTCTCTCCAAAGCAGCCGCACTTCCTGTGTACTTCAGACAGTTTTAAGGCCATCCCTGGCAGTACTCTTCTTTTCAATGGTGGTGAAACATTTCATTTGTGTGGATGTATATAAAGTATAAACAGTGTTTAATGTCCCAACTAAAGTCGTTAATAGGAATTCACTTAATTTTGCTGAGATTTGTTAGCTTTGAAGTACCTTCTGAGAGGAGAAAAGTGATACTGTTCACAAGTATTACGAAGATAGTAGGAAGTACTTATATACAGTTTTGAGGCAGTTTGATATTCTTCTACTGGTCTAGCTATTATTTTAGAAATTCCCCTTAAATTGGGCCAGATGTCTCTCTCTCTCTTTCTGTGTATATATTTTAAACTGCATACATAAATCCTGGCTGATACGGAATCAGTGTTACTCTTCTTGACGTTATATATGTACTTTAGCTTTCTTTATTACAAAGTGCTCTTGAATACTAGAGACTATTTTGTTTTTAGCATTTTTGCCACAGAAGTGGTTTTTTTCCTTTATATAGATTTCTAATTTTATGGTTAGATTTAGGTTTAATTTCTGTTATTTTTTCTAATTTAACTTCCTTTACATCACAGACCATTTTGGCTTTTTTTCTCTATAATAGTTGTGTTTAATTTAAACTTTAAATGAATTCATACAGACATCATCAAGTTAGAACTATGGCTTGTCAATATTGTAAATTAGGAAGCAGCAGCAGCCTCTTTGGTCCTGACTAAAAAGGCAGCATAACCAGCTCAGTAACTGCTGAAGGACATGGACAAAGAGAAGGAAGGAAAGACACGAAGAAGGGAGTGAGGGAGGAGAAAAAGGGGAGAAGAAAAAGGACAGAGAGACAAGAGAAATGTAGGGAGAAGTCATGGGGAAGACTGCATCACGGCATCAGCAGTTGCCAGATGCTGCGGTCTGTGCCACATACATTCACTCAACACTTGAGTCCGCCCTAGGAGATACAGTGTTGAATGAATGCCACAGTTCCTGCCCTAAAGGAGTTTATAATTCTTCAGAGAAGTCAGTCAATTAAATATTGATGATGAAGTGTGACAGATATTAAGGCAAGTACAAAATATTAGAATGTATATTTACTTGACTACCAACCTGCTTGTTCTCAAGAGCGACTGTAAGATGTCACTATGAGTAGGAAGTCACCCTCTGTCTTAAAGGGTCTGCCCTGTTCTGAGTTCTTTTCAAAGGAAGACAGACCACTCTCAACATGGTAAAGGACTATATCCTATTTTTATGATCTGTTTTAAAACAAAACTCCATTAAAAAGGATATGAATAAGTGTAGTGCCTTATATTGTAAATGCTGAGTGGAAAGAGGAATAGTTATGATTTTAAGGGAATTTTTATGAAATAGTGTATGTTAGGAGATAATAAGTTCCTTGTCTCTTGAGATACTCAAGCAAAGATTAGATGACTTTCAAAGACATTATAAAAGTTACTTCTATGAGTGGGAAGTTGGACTAGGTGGCTTTGATTCTGTGTACTCTACATTACTATATATGGTGAAAACTTGTATTTTCTTCTAGTGCATTTTTCTACAAGATTTGAGAAAACACTTTAATTGCCAATTACTTGTCCATGTTTTAATAAATTTGTACATATTATTTTATTGATTGCATGTGGAGCAACTATATGTGTAGAATTTCTTTTTAAATACACCAAAGATTTATGGATTAACTGTGCAAGGGAGTTTAGGCCAGTTCTGGGATTTTAAGCTAATAACGGTTGTTGTAAACCTCCCATTATAAATTACGTAAAAAGTGGATTGGTGAGCAGATCTTTGACTTGCATGTTGTGACGTATGGAGTTTATTCTAAGGGTAAAGGAATTTTGTGGAAGACTATCTAGAAGCAGGTCTGAGAACAGAGCCAAGGTGAGGTTCATATGATTATAGCAACATCAAAGGTTTGTTTTTTTAAGAATTAATTTAAGTGGATTTCAGATCTCAGTAGTAATTTAAATCTAATTTGTCTCCATTTATTCAGTGGAGGAGTTTTAATCAGATAGTGACTTGTTCAAAAGGATATGTTGGGTTTTTACAGCGGTAGTTCTAAATATATTCAGAAGAGGGAAAATTCTTAAAGATCTCTTTTTCTCCCTTATTTAGGTGCTTCACCTCTTATTCATTTGTGACTATGCCATTGACCTTTTTGATATTTAGCAAGAACAATGTATTTAGCTGATTTTAACTGGGTCTTATGGTTAAATTATTATTTATTATGTTATATTGCCTTGTGAAACAAAACAAAACAAAAATCAAGCCAAGCAGTCCTAATTTTTCTGTGGTATAGTAACATGGAAAGAAATTACTCCTTTCTTAATACAGTACTATAGTGTCTCTGAAATGTGAAATGTCTTCCTTTTCCACATCTTTTATTATCATACTATACATAGTAAATGTTTCTAATAGGTCGTTTTTGGGTTATCTTTAAAAATAAAGATGTTTAACCACAATTTTATAAATATATCTGGATTTTACATACATGATTTATGATTTTTTCTTTTCTTAAACTTTGTTTTTATACATGACATCTCTCATTGGGAAAAAGTTTTTCAATACTCATTTCAAGTGGTTTCTTTACGTGTATGTAAAAAAAAAAAAGTGGGCAGTTTTATTGCCTTTGAATTTGAAAAAGAAAATGCGTTACAAGATAAATTAATTTTCCCATGGTCGTAATAGGACTTTTTTAATGTTTTTAATGTTTTGGTTCAGAATTCAAATTTTAGTTTGAGAAGAGCAACAATTATAATTGATAGTGTTAGTAATTGTCGTCTGTAGTAGAGGTAGTAGCTGCCATGCTAGTAATAGAAGGAAGGCGACGACTGTATTTGGCAGGTAAGAAAACAGAAGCTTAGAGACACAGTATCTTATTAGTGGCTGAGCTGGAATTAGAGACCACGTTTATCAAACCCATTGTTGTTTCCCATAATACTGTACTGTCTTGTTCTGGTGTTTTGAGATAATGGCTGGTGCTTTAGTAATGATAAAGTTTTATACAAAGATGAGGTGTTGGTGTAATATAAAATGAACTCTCGCCTCAGTTTACTAAAATGGGGAATGTGAAAATGATCAGCGTGTTTTGGCCAAAGGTGAGGAAGATATGACAAGTGAAGGTCAAGTGTGGTATGTTGAACCACTCTATTTAACCCATTTAGTACAGAATTTTGTGCTTGGGTTGGGATTGTGACATTAGTGGTTCCTGACCATTATATTATTTCCCTGTTTAACTGCATGACAACTGGGCAAGCAAATATGGCACGCTGATAGTCTTGTTCAGTATCCAGCTGTTTTGTCTTTTACAGCCAGAATTGATGTGTTTTTTAGTCAGGGATGATGAAGAACTCAAAAGTTTCTTTTGAGTAAAGTTAAAATATGAGAATCCCATGCTCTTGGAGCTTAAATTTTTTAGTGTACAAAAGGTAGGGGATACAAATGCCAGACTATTAAGCTGATAAATGAGTGGGCCCTCTAAATAAACATTTACACCGAGTCCAGAGTGTAGTGTTCATGCTAAGGGTGAAAGTGAGTAGGGACCTCAATTAAGAGAGAAATGTTATCCCTTTCTCTTAGAGAGGGGCCTCTTAAAAGAGGTGGGAATTTTGAGGTTCGTTTTTCTTTTTTTTGTTAATAAGGGAGGAAGAAAACTTCAGAGTTGATGGGGGTAGGTTAGAGAACGTGAGAACTAAATACTGAGAATATGAAGTTAAGATTGAGGGACTGGAGGAATGAACTGAATAAAAAATAGGGGGAGAATAGGAGGTAATCTAGGTTATTTTGTATGTATTCCTTTAGCTAAATTACTATTGCTGTGGAGGTGACTGGGAGCCATTATGGGGCTTTTGGGAGAGAAGAAAGTGATTCTGAAGAGCTGAATAGATCCCTGTTTGAGCAGCTGCACATGTAATTGATGAGAAGAAAGTAGTGCTAGAAGTTCATGAGGGAGATTGATGTACTACTATTCCTGGAGAATTTAGAAAATTTAAATAGACCTACTATTCATGTAAAAGTACTATTTTTATTTTAAAACTTGAAATGTCATGTATGAAGGATGAAGTATCTTTTTTACTATTAAGCATTGCTTGGGTACTGCTTGATTTATTGCAAATGTTCTTTTTCTCTAGGGTTTGGATTCAGGATTTGTTCCTAGTGTCCAAGACTTTGATAAGAAACTTACAGAGGCTGATGCTTACCTACAAATCTTGATAGAACAATTAAAGGTATGGCATTAGTTTATATGTTGAATTGATAATAAAATAGTAAATGTTACTGAGCTTGATTTTGAGTAAGAACAATTACTTGATATTAATTTACAACCCTTATGTGGTTTTTCAGCAATTTTGAAAGCTGACATTAAAAGATCTGTGTGACTTATTAAAAAATCTTGAATCTAATTATTATTGGTAAATAGTATATGTGTATAATGGGTTTTTTTGGTCATTAAAAAAGGTAAATATTTAGACGTAATTAGAAGAAAATAAGACAAGCTTAGATTCATATTCTGTTTAAAAATTCTATGAAACTGGTAAATTTTAAGTGGCTTGATTTCTGTGGCCTTGCTTTTTCCATTTTGGGGGAGTAGGGGGTTGGGAGAGGTGATTTCTCAATTTCCTTTATCATTACTGAAATTAATTATCTCCTTCAATTCCAACCTTAAAATTAATTACAAGCAAAAGTCCTGGGAAGAAAAAGTAGGGTTGATCAACTCAGATGACAAAGCAGAAAAAACTTAGGTTTGAATTGGTGTTTTAAATCCTTGAAAGTCATCTGTTTTCTTTTGCTTGTAATTCTACCAGAGTAATTGATCTTGACTGTTTAAAATAATTCAGTATAATTTGATTTGAAACAATGGCTTGAAAAAATATGTTATCTTGAAAATACTTATAAATCATCCCTGGAAGAAATGTGTTTAACAACTGAAGTTTGCTTTTCTATGTTTAGTAAATGTACACAATGTAGTACAGTGGCTTGATACTAAATCATTTTTTTTTAATCCTGTAGCTTTTTGATGACAAACTTCAAAACTGCAAAGATGATGAACAGAGAAAGGTAACTTCTATAATCATGATTTTGACTTTAAAATTCTTAAATCCAAGAGCCTTTTGGAGACATAACAAAAGGACCTCAGTGTTTAGACTGTTGTAATAGTACTGTTGACCTGTTACAATAGTGCTGCCATATAGACTTCAAGGGGAGTTTTCTGGTGAATTTCTGTTATGGTTTCATAATTAAACAAAAGGGTGTAATGTACAAAATTTTAATATGATACCCTTTTGGTAAGTACCACTTTCCTAGGAGTAAATTCTGTCCTCTTCAGGTAGAAATGTTGAAGGTAGAAAGTTATTTTATTAAATTTACATGTGGTCAATTCAGATATTAATAAACCAACTGGTGAGAATTTTTAGAATAAACAAGAAGCCACAGATGAGGAAATAAAATGAATGTTGCTTTAATTATAGTTTTGCTGCTGTTTTTCCCCCCTGTGGATTTCTGAGGACTGCTTTGTAGTTTGAATGTTTTCTTTTTTCAGTTAACGTTTTTCCTGTCCTTGACTAGATTTCCTGATGCAGCATCATTTTTTTTTTGTAGTTCTGTTGACCATAGCCTTGCGTTTGGCTCTTTTACACTTGGTAATAGTAGTAACTCATGTTTAACTCACCTTCCATTCTTAGTTTTGAGGTTTAGTCTAACCATGTCATTTTTAAACAACTTAGCAAAGTTTAAGGTGATTCTAAAATAAGCATTTTAAAATGACATAGTAAAATCTATAGAAAAGACAAAACTTGTTTTCAGGTAAGGAATAAGAATGTTTTATATTATTCTGACAAATCTTGAATTGAATCACATGAATTTTATTTGAGGATTTAACCTATATAATGTCTGAATTTTTTATTTAAATGATTTAAATTAAAAAGTATAGCAAAAAGTACTCCCCAGCCTGCCAACACTTGCGTAGAGTAATGAGTACATTTTGGTAAAATTCTTTAAATGGCTAACCAGTAAAAAACAACAACAATACCTCTTTGTGTTTCTGATTATTTCTGTTTACACTTATTATTTTTCACAGAAAATTGAAACTCTCAAAGAGACAACAAATGTAAGTTATGTGTTTGATAAACTCTGGCTTTGCGTTAGAAAGTACTTTAAAATGTTATTTCTATTTTAAGCTGCTACTATTAATAATAGCGATTGCGATTTTAACTTTATGAATTTTTACAAGAATTTATTTATATTTAAGTATTGTATTATTTTCTGAAGGAATTTAAATGAATAGAATAATCCCACTAATTGGAATTGACTTCATGTGCCATTTTATGTGTTTCTGGTCTTGTCTGTTTGGGATCCTTGGATAAAAGGTGTCATCCGTGCACAACATATATTCTCTTTCTTATAATTAAAATATATTGTGATTCAAGTTTTTTGATGTAGTGACTGACCTTCTGACATTATATAGTGGGCTACTAATAAGACTTTTATTTTGATAAAAGCTTTTTAAAAAACAGGCAAAATAGTATTCTAGGTTTACCAGTATTTTGATAAGATCCTTTACTCTCCATAGTTCCATAAAAGAATAGACATTTTTGGAATTTACACTGAGATTGCCTACTGTTGATCTAAGAATTTGGAAGTTAATCAGACTCACATCTCTTTCTGTTTGAAGTGTTGAAAAACCATTTAGATGTCATTTGGTATAAATTAACAATTTTTTGGCATTCCTTAACAATTCATAGGATTGCTGATGATTTCACTAGCAGCATATTAGAACCCACTGGATATCCAGAAAGGGTATTTCTTGTGTAGTACAGACTTAAACCCTGTACATTTGAACCAGTTTTAATATTGTATGACCATTTTATTTGGGGCAAGATCCTAAAATCAGTGTTTTGTTTTTATAGAACATGGTAGAATCAATTAAACACTGCATTGTGTTGCTCCAGATTGCTAAAGTAAGTACATTTTGCTTTTGATTACTTTCATTTAATGAGATTTAAAAATTACAATGACCTTTTTCTTTAATAGCCAAAAAACTCAGTTCTGAAATATATTACCTTTCTGCAATACATTGTATTGTGGGGTTTCTGGTACTATTGAACAACTGTTGTGTTTGGAGGGTTCTTTACCAGCATATGCATGTTTTTGATAAGGTATTTTCTGATGGTGGCTGGGAAGGAGGGGAGCATGTTTGGATGACTCACCCCTTCCTTCCATTTTATCCATTATTAATGCTTGGAACAGGGACATATTTTGCAAAACCTCTCACAAAAAAGTTTTCCTTAGGAAAAAAGGAATTAAATTTTAGCAGAGTTCTTTTTCACGTCCATGATGAAGAGTATAATAAAGATATTTTTAAAAGTTGTTTGTGATAGATTTTTTTTCTGGTACTGAACTATACTAATGACCACTACTTTAATTGCTGTTCCTTATTCATGAAATAAAATATATTTTGAATTATTGTGATGGGTTAAAAATTTCTTGGATATTGTCTGCTTTTCTGAAAAATTTTGGTCTATTTAACCTACATATATATACTTTATTGCCCAGTATTTTGAAAAACAAGAATTTTAGTGTTTGAAAATAGGAATTAAAAAAATTTTTTCCCCATTATTTCTATCTGACTTGTACCTCTGTATTTCTCGCCAGTGGCTAGAAGTGGGTGGGTGGCCAACTCAGCAGCTAAGTTTGGAATGTTTGTGTGAGTTTTTAATTACTGGCCTGTTTTATGTATTCAATTGCATATATTTGTTTGCCCAGTAATGAATACTTTTTATCTAGCATTGTTAATGACACAGTAGCACAGGGCAATCCATTTGTGCTTAGAGAGTAAGGATATTCAGCTTATAAGTTCAAGGAGGGCAATGTCATTTTCTTTTGAGGCCAGATTCAGTGTTAAAGTGTCAGAACTTCAGGGCTTGTGTTCATTTTCTAGGCATTCTTGACCACTATGCCTGATTTCTTATGTATGTGTCTAAATTGTTCATCTGCTTTTGTGGATCAGAATATATTCTAAAGCTTAAGAAGGGAGGATAGGGTTGGAAGCATAAAAAGGGTAAGGTTTTTGCTTTTGTTTTTCTTGACTGTGAAATTGCATGGGTGGGTGGGGGCACCTGCAGTTACCCAAAAGCCTATATATAGGTAACCAGTAAACTACACCAGGCCCAGTGTGAGTAGGTTGATGTTTGAGGGATTCATATGGCCTTCTCTATAAGATTGAGGAAGTAGAAGAGCTCATAGCTTTTAGGCCAGTTTGGATGATCTCTACAAATCATTCAGGACTTCAGTAGTTGTAAAACGGGGCAGCCTAGCCTCTTTCAGTTGCTCACCTTTTAATCACCCATCAAAAACATTTTTGGTGCTCTGTCTTTGGAATGATTTATAATTCAAATTACTAAAACTCCTTTCTAGAAATTTCTACAATTTAGTCTGTACCTGCTACTGTCTATTGCATCCCAGCTTGATAGACCTACGTTTCAAGGTCCTTCAGAATGGGTAACATGGATCAAATAAATGGAGTTTGGCTTTTTAATTTTTTCCAGAAAGAAGTTTTATTGTTGTTAAGGCTTTTTATGTACAAATACATCCCTTAAATTATATATGTACCCTATATGAGCTCTGTGTATCTTTAAACCTAATTTAAATGTAAATCAGACCGTGTCATTTGCCTGCTCGACCCCCCCTAGTGGTTTCCCATCTCCCTTGGAACGGAATCTAAGCTACTCACCATACTCATCATTTGAGCCGCTTGCGTGATCACGCCATTCCAACAACATTGGCCTCTTTTCTTTTTCTCAGACAGGCCAGGCTTTTTCTCCTTCAGGGATTTGTATTTGCTTTTCCCTCTGCCTGGAAGACATTTCCCCCAGGTTTCCAGGGCTCACTCCCTCACTATATTCAAATTTCTGCCCACATGAAACCGCTTTGGAGAGACCTTCCTGACCACTCTAGCTAAAATCATCTCTACATCCCGTTAGTTTGTCTTCATGGCCTTGCACCACTTGCCAGATTTACATGATATCCTATTTATTGTCTCTCTATACCTGTCTATAATCTCCATGAGGACTGTTGTTCTATTTACCACTTGTATGAGTCTGCTTGGGTTGCCGTAACAAAACACCACAGACTGGGTGGCTTAAATAACAGAAATGTATTTTCTCATAGTTTTGGAGGCTAGAAGTCCAAGATCAAGGTTTCTGATGATTCAGTTTCTGGTGAGGATTCTCTTCCTGGCTTGTAGATGGCCACCTTTTTGCTGTGTCCTCGCAAGGCTTTCTCTTGGTGCGTGCATGCTGAGAGAGAGACAGAGAGAGACAGAGAGAGCGCTCTGGTGTCTCTTCTTATTGGATCAGGGCCCCACCCTTAGTACCTTGTTTAACCTTAATTTACTTTTCCATAGGCCCCATTTCCAAATATAGCCACACTGGGAGGTTAGGGTTTCAATATCTGAAATTTGGGGGGAGAGAGATGTTCACTCCATAATACTACTGTATCCTCAGTGCTTAGAACAGTTGCCTGCCACATAGTAGGTGCCTGATAAATAATTGTGAATTTTGAATGAATTTTTCTAATATGTAATTTTTTTTTCTTTTTTTTATTGATGTTTTAATACTTTATAAGATTGTGAAATTTTGGGTTGTACATTTTTGTTTGTCCATCACCATATGTATGTCTCCCTTCACCCCTTGTGCCCACCCCCACCCCCATTGCCCCTGGTAACCACAATACAGTTTTCTCTGTCCATGTCTTGGTTTATATTCCACATGTGAATGAGATCATACAGTGTTTGTCTTTCTCTTTCTGGCTTATTTCACTTAATACCCTCCAGGCCCATCCACGTTGTTGCAAATGGGACGATTTTGTCTTTTTTTATGGCTGAGTAGTATTCCATTGTATATATATATACACCACATCTTCTTGATCCAATCATCAGTCGAGGGACACTTAGGTTGCTCCCACTTCTTGGCTATAGTGAATAATGCTGCAGTGAACACAGGGGTGCATAAGCCTCTTTGGATTGTTGATTTCAGGTTCATTAGATAGATTCCCAGTAGTGGGATAGCTGGATCATAGGGTATTTCTATTTTTAATTCTTTGAGGAATCTCCATACCATTTTCCATAGAGGCTGCACCAGTTTGCATTCCCACCAGCTGTGTATGAGGGTTCCTGTTTCTCCACATCCTCTCCAACATTTGTTGTTTTTTTCTTGGTGGTTATAGCCATTCTAACGGGCGTGAGGTGGTATCTTAGTGTTGTTTTGATTTGCATTTCCCTGATGATCTAATACGTAATTTTTAATGGTTGCGTGGCTTAGTATTTCCACTATATGTATGATTTTTGTATTTAGCCACTTCTCTGTTGTGCTGTGATGATCATCCTTATAAATTAATCTTTGGGTAAATCTAATCAGTTAACCTGTGATTAAGATATAAGATTTTTAAATAATGAGAGGCAACATGACATCATTATCTTTTTTTTTTTTTTATAATTTTATTTATTTATTTTTTTCCCCCAAAGCCCCGGTAGATAGTTGTATGTCATAGCTGCACATCCTTCTAGTTGCTGTATGTGGGATGCGGCCTCAGCATGGCTGGAGAAGCAGTATGGCGGTGCGCGCCCAGGATCCGAACCCGGGCCGCCAGCAGTGGAGCGCGCGCACTTAACCACTAAGCCGTGGGGCCGGCCCCTCATTATCTTTAAAAGCATGGACTCTGGAGCCCAGCTGAGGGTTTGAATCTTTGCTACACCACTTGAGCAAGTTTATTTATCCTCTCTGTGCTTTGGTTTCTTCCTATATAAAATGTGGATAATAATAGTAGCTGTACTCTTACTGGTATTGTGAGCCTTAAATGAATTAGGATTTGTAATGCTCTTAGTACCAGGCATATAGACAAGTCCTAAATAAGTATTAAATTTAAAAAAAATTGAGGGCATAAATTTTTTTTTTTTTTTTTTGGTGGGGAAGATTAGCCCTGAGCTAACTGCTGTTGCCAATCCTCCTCTTTTTGCTGAGGAACATTGGCCCTGGGCTAACATTTGTGCCCATCTTCCTCTACATTATATATGGGATGCCTGCCACAGCTTGGCTTGATAAGCAGTGTGTAGGTCCACGCCTGGGATCCAAACTTGCAAACCCTGGCTGCCAAATTGGAGCAGGCAAACTTAACCACTATGCCACCGGGCCGGCCTGAGAGGGCATAAATTTTAAAGCAACTCTATCACATGTTGGTAAAAATGGGAGAACTTCCATCTAATATTGATGGGAATACAAATTGTTATAGGCACTTTGGAGGACTATTCTTCACCATGAGGTTAAGAAAATATTGGAATCACCTTCCTTGAGAGAACTATTGCCATCTGTGAGCCCAAAGGGATATATGAAGATAGATAATTTGATACCTTTCTTGTTTGGGGTTGATTTAGTATTAGGTGCTTAGAGGCAGCTGTAGGTAGAATTTAAGCTCCTTCCAGTTTTGATTCTTTCATTTTAATTCTCACTCCCAAAAGCTTCCCTCCTGCCTAAATAATTAGCGCATTGGCTCCCAAAGTTTGCTGCACATTGGAATTACCTGGGAATCTTTAACAGTTCAGATGCCTGGCTTCCACTTCCAGACATTCTGTTGTAATTGGTATGGGGTGTCACCGGGCACTGGGAGTTTTAAGCTTCCAGGCAATTCTAATGTGCAGCAAAGTTTGGGCACCACTTGTCTAGTGGGATTTTCAGGTGGACTGTGTTAGCTCAGAAGACTTCCTTCTTCCTTTGTACTATAGATGGAGACAGCTAGCGTTCCACTCATGGGGGGAACTGCAGAGGAAGTGAGGAGTTGGGGGAGGGAGCGGAGCAGAGACCCCTACAGCTGGGGACTTGACCAGTTCTTCTTCAACATTAGGTGATATGACTATATGCCACAACTCATAAAAGCAAGTGAAATTAATTTTAATAATGTGTTTTAT